TTTTGTATTTTCGGTTCGCCATTTTGGATCCGCCATTTTGAATTATGAAATTCTGACATCAGATTCGGAATTAAGGCCATCACACGTACAAAAATTTTAGTCGTAATCGTAAGATCGCAAGCAAATCGACCAATCACAATCAAAATTACGATCTTGCGTTTTAAAACGCTCGATTGTGATTGGCCGATTTGCTTACGGCTTTACGATTACGACTAAAATTTTTGTACGTGTGATGGCCTTTAGCGATCCAAAAAACCGTTATATATTTAATTTCATAAAAATTAAATGATTATTATAGAAAATCGGCCGTTTTGGATCCGCCATTTTGAATTTCTAAATTTTGAGTGCGGATTCGAAATCAGTGACCCTAAAAACCCTTAGATACCGAGTTTCATGTCAATCCATCAACATTTTGAATTTTGGCCAAGATTTCGGGTTGTCTGGTCCACTGTGCACCGCTGTATAAGGCGACTTTTCGTATTTCTGTAGCGCGAGAATGTATCTGCGATCCGTTAGTTACAATCTTTCGAAAAAATATAATCTTTTTCAATATATGTCTCTCCACTATTTGTACATGATTATATTTATTTTGATTTCACCTATTTCGTGTGTACTTTGTATTTCTTATACGTATTTATATGCAGAAAAGTTCTACCGTTTGTCTCGTATCAATTAGAGTCACTATAATAAGAATCGAGACATCAGCGATTCGCCTCGGGATTGGTCAGCGCTATGTCTGAAACCGTCTGATGTGTTAGTGAAAACGTGAGTCTGTATAAACGTCTGTGTATGTACATGTGTTACCCTAGTGAAAAAATGTCGCTGAAAATTTCGCCGAAAATGTGAAATAAAATCATTTTTCAGAGATTTTTAGTGACATTCAGGGACTTTTTCAAACAAATTAAGGAATTATCAGCGAAAATATTCTCTGAAAATAATTTCCACGTGTCTAAAAGTCTTTGAATTTAGTGATGTTTCTGAAGATAGAATTTTCATGGTTTCTCACTTTTCAGAGACTTTCAGAGTTTTGCAGATAATTTTAAGGGGGGAGGGTCATGTAAACAGGCGTTTTTTTTACGAATTTATTTATAAAAAATGAAAAGATTTATTAAATTTTGGTAAGGAACATCGTAATATTGACAATAAATGCTATAAGAAAAAATTTTTTTTGTGTCAAAAATTCAAATTGGCGGCGCTACAGCTGCTCGAAGTTGACTTCTTTTTTTGCGCGGTGCAGGCTACAGGTCGTTCTAATTATCTGAAATAAAAAATACAAAATTTTTTCGTTAAAATATGATCTTGCGCAGATCTTGAACCTAAATTTAAAAAAAATCGAAAATTAAAAATTCAGGACACTTTTTGTTTGTAAAAAAATAAATTGATTTTTTTTTATATTGTCCTGAATTTTTAATTTTCGATTTTTTTTTAAATTTATCTATTTATCTATTAATCTATATAATTTATCTATTAATCTATATTATAATGTCAAATTTAGCTCAATTTCAACTGTTTTAAGCTGTTTAATTCTATTATTGTATAAAATAATGATATATTGAGTAGGAACAGTAGCGACTCAAATGGGGTTAAATTTGACGCTATAGATTTAATCCCATTTGAGTCGCTACTGTTCCTACTAACCGTGTAAAATATTTAAAAAAATTCTCTCAAAGATTTCGAAAATCTCTGAAAGTGTCTAAAAATGTAATTAAAATTACCTGCAAAACTCGGAAAGTCTCTGACATTAGTCTATGAAAATTCTCTTAAAAACATCGAAAATTTCTGAAATCTTCGAACAATTCTCTGACAAACACTGAAAGTCTATGAATATATTGTAACAAAGGCTCTAGCAGGATAAGGGGGGTTAAACGACCCGCAAACGAAAATGAATGGAGGCAAGTTTACCAGTTTTGAGGTGGTAAAAGAAAATTTTTCACCAAGTTTCAACTGCTTAACGCCATTATTCAGTCCGTAATTGCAAAAAAATGTTCATTTTTCGTTTTTATTTTATTTCTCCGCACACTTTCATGCAATCTGCATACAAAGATTCATGAATGTAAACGTAGTCAACTTACATCTACTGATGTTTTATCGACCCGCCGTAATGATACATACCATTTAAAAAAAATTATTTAAAAGTTCAATAATTTTTTTCTCGAGTTAAAAAAATAAAGCCCTCTGGGAAAAATTTGAGAAGCTGTGTGTTCTAACAACCTATATTGTCAATTTTTTTTCAGGTTCCAAAAAAATGCGCCATTGTTAAGAAAACTAAAAACCCCATTTTTATTCTGTTTTTTGGAATTTGTAAGCATTTTCGTGCGACTATTTTTGTGTCTTAATAACCTTTTAGGCATTTGCGTTCGGTAAGTAAAACCTATCATCACTTATATGTGTTCTTAAGATATAAATGTTATTAATTAAATATAATTAAAATCTTGCTTCAAATATGATTGTTAATACTTTTGTAAGTTATATCCCTGTTGAAAATTCTTGTAAGTTTTTTGTACCAGATCTTAAAAGAGTTGTATGTGATCAATCAAGATTACTAAGTGAACGTACATGATCATATAAGAATCTTATATAATTTATACATGAATCTCACCAGTAATCTTTAATGACTTAGGAATCCGAAATGAATCGTAAACGACGATTTATATTGCAATAAAAAGATCTTGCCTTAACCTTATAAGAAACTTTTAAAAAATAGTTTCTTTACAGGATCATCTAAGAATATGGTATTAATTATATATGATTCTGAAGTGAAAGATCATGAAAAGATTATTTATCAGTATTAAGAGACATAGTTACGGAATAATTTATTTTTCAAGTTAATACAAGAATTGTTGGAAATCATCCAAATTGGCGCCCTCAGTACTGTTTCCTCTGCGATATCGCGACATTACGGTGGCGCTATAAGCATGGGAGACGTAGAGACCCCATAGAGATATAAGAATAGAGCGCGTCAGCAGTAGGCTGACGCGTGAGTGGCTGCGATAGACGAATAGAAAGAGAACGATGCATAGTTTCCCTGTGTGTCTTTGTCTAATCTCGCGCACGCGCAGTATGACTTCGCGCTGGTTGGCCGGCCGTGGCCCCCGCGGAGCCGATGGATTTCAAACGCCGGCGGATGAGTTGTAATGCAAAGTAATTGATTTTGACATGAAAATGTATTAAAAACATTCGGATTTTTTGGCGAAGACAGCGGAAAACATGTTCCTTTCTAAAATCATGAAGAAAGAATATGGAAATGATGCGAAATATTTTGTTTATAAGCACGACAGTGTCCAAATTCATGTTTTGGACACTGTCGTGATAAGTACGCGTTACATATTTGATAGGACTGAAAATGTTAAAATGCAATGCTAGATTTATAAATAAACAATCCTCATGTATGATTTAATTAATTGTAATGAAAATAATGGTGTTAAAAAAGTAATATTGCAAATACAGAAGAAATGGTACCTTTAATATTCTTCTTTATCATGTATATGATGAAAATTATGATGAGAATATGTGTCATTAAGCAAGAATTATGGTAAATAAAGTAAAAAATAAAGAAATTATAGTTAAAATAGAAAAGTATCATTGAAACTACAGATATCAATTTTTATACAATTAATTACAATGTTTATTAAGGTTAGGTTTGTATGTTTGTTATGTATACGTACAATATGTGTGTACTTACTTATGAAAACTGCGATCAGAAAATCGGTTTGATTCTTTTTTGCACACGATACACTTTACAGTCATTTTTTAAAAAAACTGTACACAAAAACATTTGTAAAATCGAAAGCGGTTAATTCCGGCATATTCACTACCATGCTTGTAAGTAAACATGGATGGGCTGCGCGCATGCGTCATTAAACAAGAATGGCACGAGTAACTATGCAGCGTTCTCTTTCTATCCCGCTAACGCCTGTACCTACGGCTTTTGCCCTCTATTCTTATATCTCTATGAGAGACCCTCTAATCACAGTCGCGAAATAACGTGTTCAATTTTTATTGGTGGCGACATTTTTCAGCAAAAACCGGAAATAGTCATAGCGTCAAATTTAAATTTAAAAACATGGTATTACAAAATAAATATATACAATATATATACAATAATATATACAATAATATATACAAAATAAAAAAGTATTATTTTATGTAAAATATTAAATAATACTTTCCCATAACACTAATCTCGCAGAGATATAAAGCATTAGAGTCCAATTTGGTTGACCTACATTTGCTGCCTATTTTGCTCTTTTTTCAGGATTACGAGGAAAAACTTTCATAATATAACCCTTTTTTTGCAGAATTGTTGCAGTCTGGCGCAGAACAACCAGTCATTTTAGAAAATATAATTTTATGAAATACAGTATTAATATAAAAAATATAATAATGTAATTTCTTTCTGACAACTGTATTTAGATTCACATGTATTAGGTTAATGTATCACATTAAACAGTCTTTTCATTGCAACTGTGATGATGTTCGCAGTTGTATTATATTAATCGCTACTTCCGGTTTTTGCTGAAAAATGGCATCGCCGACCTAACCTTATTGACGTTATTTCGCGACTTTGATTAGAGGGTTTCTAGGGAGACGGTGCTCCCATTTTTATTCTCATATTATCCTCACTAACTTTCTACCGTACCCGAAGATTGTTATGGCGTCTCTCACCGCCACGCGACTTTCGTTGTCTTCGCTACATTTATTCCTATTCTAATAAAGTATAACATTCTAGTGTATACGAGTCTGGCATTATCCGTTCATTCTTCCAAGCCTATTCTAATAGGTTATGGGCCCAGACTTCGCGAGTGATAAAAACTCGAACGAACAATAAATATTTTCGCGTCGCGGCACCGCCATTGATCATATCGCCACGCAACCGAAAAGTGAAGTTAAGTTCTCGTAAATCTCTCGCCATGTCGAGCACAATTCAACGCGCATCGAACTCCTAACGAAGCATAACTATGATACATGGAGAATTCAAGTCGAAGCACTCCTCATGAAAAATGACCATACGTCAACGGCGACATTCCAAAGCCTGTCGTGGCCGGCACAGGTGAAGCACTTTCTCTATCTCAGGCCGCAGCCAATGCCTGGATCGTCCAAGACCGAAAGGCGAAATCTGATTTGATCCTGTCAATGAGCCCGGAACAGCTCAGACATCTTCGAAACTGGGATACATCGAAAGAGGTATGGGATAAACTAAAGTCGATATACGCCTCGCAAGTATCTATGAGAAAGGCCATCCTCTTAGAACAGTTACTACTATAAAAAATGCGCGAAGGAGACGACGTACGAGACTATCTGTCACGATTCATGAGCATCGTAGATCAACTACAAGCTCTAGACATCGACATTAATAGCGACCTACTCTCAATCATGTTGCTTTACAGCTTACCGACTAATTTCGACAACTTTTGTTGTGCAATCAAATTGCGCGATAACTTACCGGAAATCGATGCACTGATGATAAAAATCATCGAAGAATTCAACAGTAAAGTTCATAAAGAAGGGGAAACAGGCTCAAACGCCTTGCTATTTAAGCCCCAATAATTAAAAAAAATACGTCAAGAAACAACAATAACGCTAAACAACGGAGCGACAAGGACAACGCCTCCAATGCGCCAATCAAACTCAAATGTAGCTACTGCAAGAAAAAGGGGCACAAGGCTGCCGATTGTTACTGTAAGGCAAAAGCGGACGCGCAAAGTGCCAGCGCAGCAAACGAGATATTTTCTGCAATTGTCGGCGATGACGCATCACACTCCGTGGAATCGGCATGGAATACTGTTTGCGATCCAAAATGGTGTCTCGATAGTGGATGCACATCGTACTTATGCAACGATTCCGAGCTGTTCACCAGTTCACATCAATTAAACAGTGGTATTAAACTGGCGAGCGATGCAACGGCCCCCGCAACGGCCAAGGGCGACGTACAGGTAACTTTTTCAAATGGTATCCAAATAAACCAATCACATTACAGAATACGCTATACGTACCGACCTTGCGTACAAACCTCATATCTGTCGCCAAAATAATCGACAAAAAGCATCAGGTCTTATTTACTGAGGATCGTGCCTACATCAAGGACGCCCATGGAAACACAAAAATGATAGTCGACCGCGTAGGTAATCTATTTTATCTGCGAAGAGGGGAAGATGCAGCATGTACTATCTCAAGCGACGAACAAGGCCAAAGAGTAGTATTAAAAGCTCGGACATCTAAATTGGTAAAGTATGCTACTAATGCTAAGAAATAACGCTGTTTCTGGTCTGAATTTTAGGTCCAATGATTCTCTTCCCGCATGCGCCGCCAGTAATATCACAAGTATTCCTTTCCCGAAACGAGGCAAGCGCACATCTGCTTCGCTAGAGATCGTATACACAGATGTATGCGGACCCATGCCTATACCATCACAGGGTAGCGCTCGGTATCTCTTGACACTTACTGATGACTATAGTCGCTGGACCGAGGTTTACTTCCTCAAACACAAATCCGAGGTAAGTTCTAGGTTCCTGGAATACAAGCGCTATGCAGAAATGTGCACCGGAAGAAAAATCAAAGCGATTCAATTCGACAACGGAGGAGAATTCTGCAACGCCATCATGGATAGCATATTGAAAGAGTTTGGAATCCGATGCCGATTGTCAGCTCCGCATATCCCCCAACAGAATGGACTAGCGGAACGCAAAAATAGAACGTTGATTGAAAGCACTAGGTGCATGCTCAATGAATCCGGGCTACTAAAAAGCTTTTGGGCCGAAGCGATTGCCACCGCTAATTATGTAAGAAATCGTTGTGTAACCAAGTATTTGGGTAAGAAAACCCCTCACGAGATTTTGACACACAAACGTCCGAATGTATCACATCTACAAAAATTCGGCGTCAAGGCATATGTCCTGGATCAGACACCCAACAAAGACAAATTTGCTCCCAAGGGGATCGAGGGTATTTTCGTCGGATACTTTGACACTTCCAAGGCCTATCGCATCTGGATACCGTTTGAAAAGAAGGTGCGCACATCTCGTAATGTCAAATTCCTATGGGATTTCCCATCCGGAAACAACTTACCGAACAAAGTCGCCTCACACGACAGAGAATCCAGCTATAACGATGTCTCGAATCAAGAAGATCAGCACGCAATCATTCCTCATATTGAGTCTACAAATCAGCGTAGCACTTCAGCATATGAAGACATTGAAATACAAGAAGAAAATATCGTAAGGGGAAATAATCTCAGTTCGTCGGCCGATGCTGGCGATGAGATGCGGCAAGCTACTGGAAGACCATGTAAGATTTTGACGGGCAAACCGGGTCGACCCGCTAAACAATACAATTTACAATCCGCCGTCAGTAACTCACATGAGTTAGGTATTACTGAGAATTCGGACGACGAAAGCCAAGAGTACGTGGATGCAGAGTTCGCGATGATCGCTTCTGAAATTCCATTCCAGCGGGCCATCTCCGGACCGGATAGGGACGAATAGCGCGATGCAGTCCACTTTGAAATGAAAAGTCTCATTGAAAATAACACCTTCGACATCATTCTCAGACCGATAAGAGAGTGATAGTTTGTCGAATTGTTTTACGAAATAAATACGACGCCCAAGGGAATATAACTCGAAGAAAAGCACGTGTAGTCGCCAAAGGCTTTGCCCAGCGCCCCGGTATTGATTTCTTTCAAACCTTCGCTCCAGTAGCACGCATAGGATCTTTTCGGATGCTTATGGCACTAGCTGCAAGATACAATTTACAAAGGATATCACAGCTGGATGTCGAAACTGCTTATCTAAATGGAAAGATCGACACTGAAGTCTACATGGAGAAACCTGATTTGCTACGCGAGTCTATTGAAAAGATCATACTTCAGGAAGAAGACTCCAAAATCGCGGACTGGGCATGTGCCATGCTGAAAAAAATCGAAGAGCCGGACTCAGTGTGCAGATTAAACAAGGTTCTCTATGGTCTGCGTCAGTCAGGCCGACAGTGGCATATTGAGCTTGAGAAAACGCTCTGCTCCATTGGGTTGATCCCAATCCATGCCGATCCATGCGTCTACATTGATTCAAGTAACCAATTGTTTTTTGTTCTAATCTATGTAGAGATAATATTCTGATTGTCTCAGACAATCAAGTGAGAGAAAGCCAGATAATAGATAAATTATCTCAATCTTTCAAAATCAAAAACCTCGGAGAGGCGAGATACTGCTTAGGCTTCGAAATTCGACAGAAGAAAGGATGCATACGTCTATCCCAAAAGAATTACGTGCAAGAAATTCTAAGCAAATTCGGCATGGAAGATTCTAAACCTGTTGGTACTCCACTTACCCTAGACGTCAAGCTGACCAAGGACTTGGATACAGCAATCAACGACAAGACACTCCCGTACAGGGAATTGGTCGGGTCGCTCATGTACGCCGCCTTGAGTACCCGTCCTGACATAGCACATGCAGTAAGCGTGCTCAGACAATTCAATTCCGAATACAACAAGAATCATTGGAGAGCTGCTAAGCGTGTGCTGCGGTATCTGAAAGGAACGATAAACCACGAGTTGGTTTATCGACAAGATGACCCATTGCTACGAGGATATGTAGACGCTGATTGGGGTCATTGCATCATTGATAGACGATCCTACACCGTCTTTATACTCAAGTGGAGCTACTGTGACGTGGGAATCACTCAAGCAGAGGACCGTGGCTTTTCGTCGATCGAAGCAGAATATATGGGGATTACCGATGCTGCCAAGGAGGCTTTGCACCTTATAGGTTTCCTCAACGAACTCGGATGTGATAATCTCGCCAACGCAACGATTTACAATGATAATCGTGGAGCCGGGTTACTAGCAAATAATCCTCTTTTTCATTCTAGGTCCAAGCATATCGATATTAGACACCATTTTCGAGAAGTGTTAAGGGATCATCCAGTGACTTTGACTCATGTTCCTTCAGAGGAGATGATCGCTGATGCCTTAACCAAAGCGCTGCCGAGCACAAGACATTCCAAATGCACTTCTGGTTTTGGTTTGGAAACATTCGAAGAGTAAAACATCGGACGCATTTTTGAGGGGGAGTGTTGGAAATCATTCAAATTGGCGCCCTCAATACTGTTTCCTCTGCGACATCGCGATATTACGGTGGCGCTATAGGGAGACGGTGCTCCCATCTTTGTTCTCATATTATCTTCACTAACTTTCTACCGTACCCGAAGATTGTTATGGCGTCTAACCGCCACACGATTTTCGCTGTCTTCGCTACATTTATTCCTATTTTAATAAAGTATAACATTCTAGTGTATACGAGTATCCTGGCCTACTTCGCTACTGAGGACCCGGGCCAATCAAATAGAAGAAGAAGAAGAAGTAGTGTATACGAGTCTGGCATTATCCGTTCGTTCTTCCAAGCCTATCCTAACAAGAATCGTACACGATGACATCGCAATGAAAATACATTGCCTTAACCTTATAACAAACTCTTAAAAAATAATTTCTTGACAGGATCATCTAAGAATATGGTATTAAACATGTATGATTCCTAAGTGTTACATGAAAGATCATGTGTCAGTCTCAGAAAACATATAGTTACGAAACAAATTACCTTTCAAGTTGGTGCAGGAATCTGGCATGAATTGTACACGACGATTTATATCACAATGAAAAGATTTTAACTACTTTAGCCTAATAAGATACTATTAAGAAATAATTTCTTTATGTGATCGCTCCAAACTAATAAAGGTATCGATCATTCCAGTAAACGAAATGGAATTATTAAATGAACAGAAACCGGATTGAATATATGAAATGAAAAAGAATGAAGAAAAATTAAAAAATTTGTTAGAATGCTGAAGATGACTAAATATATTATCACCATTTTAATGAATCGATAAATTATAATTTCTCTATAATAACTGGCATAGGCTTTTTATGTTCCTTTCCCAAATTAAGTTTGACGTTTCGTCGAAAAGTCGTTATTCAATTTGTGTAAAAAGAATTAATTTTAGCCAAAATGAATTCTTTTAAATCCTATTCAACTTCTTGCTTGTCTATTTTATTTACTAGAATACGAGCAATAAATCATACAAAATTCCAATAATATTCTTGTAATATTTTCATAATGACACTCCAGTTATATTCTTGCAAGATTCACGTTACATGTGCGCAAGATTCATGTAACCTGCGCGCAAGATTCATATAATATGCTTGTAAAAGTCATATAACATTCTTATAAGATTCATGTAATATGAGTGTAAGATTCATGCAAGATTCTTGATTTACCTATAGGTAAATCGTATGCGATATATTTTTATACGATCTTGTATGTTCCTGTCCGAAATTCGTATGTGAAAATTTTGTTGGAAGATTTCACAAGAATTTTTCTTGTAAGAATTTGCAACAGAGATACTAGTTCAATAATCCAGCGTAATTGGTTGTATATGGTAGTTTTTGAATACTGAAAATGTTATTTTACAGGAAAACATTTGCCGTGTGACACTTTACAGCACTGGAAGTTCTTTTTCTTACATATTTCTTATCAAAATCTGTCGTTGCACATTTTATATTTTTTTCTAATATTTAAGAAAGTTATGTTAGGATAAATACATATACCTTTACCTCGAACATTGAGGTTAATCACAAAAATCAAATATGAGATTGTTATCAACAATCGATCGAGTAGAGTGACGCATTATTTATTCTTTTATTTGCTAAACTTATGCGTACTTTTTTCTCTTTCACTTCATAACATTATTATTTATTTGAAGCTTATTTGTAAACCTTTACTTATACAAGTCATTTTACTTCTTATGTAAAATACATTTATGTCTATAACCACACTTTTCCACTTATTTCACAACACATTGATTTGATAGCAATTTTTCTTATAATAATAATTTAAATGAATATATGTTTTACTTTACATCAACATTGACTTTGTAAATACGATGTAACTACCCAGGCAACCAACTGACGTTGTAATGACGTTAATATAAGGTCAGTTTTTGACCTGGTCGACGTTATTTTTTTACGTGATATTAACGTAATGACGACGTGAGTTTGTCTAGTCAAAAATGACGTCAAGGTAATGACGTTTACTTACGTCATTAACCTTACGTAACGTGATTAACTTGATGTCTTGTTTACGTCATAAATTACGTTGTAATACGCGAATAAAGACGTAATATAACACGTAGTAAAGACGTATTTAAAACATAGGTAATTAAAAATACAGCATAAAGATGTTTTATTACAATATTTTATTATAATATT